ATAATTTTAATTCATCTTTAATAAAACTCAAATTTGCTTTAATTCTAACACTTAAGCCCAACCCTATTCCTAACTCTTAACCAAATTCTATCTCTAATCCAAAACCTAACTCTAAATTTATCAAATCTATTTATTTCATCAATAATTACATTATTACTTCGTAGACAACTATTTTGTAGACAACCATCTCAAAAACAACCACTTTGTAGACAGTTACCTCATAGACAACAACATTGTAGATTATTACATTATAAACAATTACATGTCATAGCCAATTACTTTTTGTAATCTACAGTGCCAGACTGAACTATATTAATCATAGATCAAAATATTAGTGCAGTTAATATAGCCGACAATTAAAAGAAATTTAAGCTGATTAAATTCATAACTTATTTTACAGATAATTAGTTCATAAACAGGTTTATTTTATAGGCATTTAATTCACAAACAATAAACTATAGAATAAACTTGTCTGCAAATTGATTGTCCATAAAATAAATTTGTATATGAACTAGTTGTTTGTGAATAAAAAGTAATTCTTAATAAAATGATATAGATCATTTTTCTCATTTTGATTCAATATAACACACAATGTTATTTTTGCAGACTGCATTAATAACATATTTCTATCTCCTGATATAAGATTATTAAGGCATAACGAGATCTCATAGGCAGAAGTTTGTTTGGTTGGCTAATAAATTCAATTTAATTTTACATTATTTATACAGTTATAGAATACTTTTTAAATAAATAAAAACCAACTATAATAAAGTAAAAAAAAAACATATAGAAAGTTTTATTAGAACTGTAGAACTTTATAGTCAAAAATAAGATCTAATTCTTGTCTATTTAAAAAGTTAGTATAATAATAACTTTTCCAAATCTGATAAAATCAACTTATTACTAAAATAATCTTTTTAAATGGATAAAAATTAGATTTTATTTTTGACTATAGAGTTTTACAGCTCTAATAAAACCTCTTATATGATTTTTTTTTATTTTATTATGGTTGGTTTTTAGTTTTTTAAAAAGTTTTCTAAACTGTATGAATAATATAAAATTAAATTAAACTTATTAGCAAATCAAATGAACTTCTGCCTATAAAATGAGATCAGTATAGTGTTCTTTCAAAGTGATTTGCTAATATTTATCTTTATTTTAACTCAACTTGTTACTATTAAAGCTGCGAATAATGTTAGCATGGTGTTGCAAATTGCATCAACTAATGTCTTCTCTTCTTCTAATCTAAGATTATTGATGAAAGATTCAAAAAAGTTAGTATGATGTTCTTGCAAAATGCATTCGCTAAACAATAATGCCAAAAATAGTAACATCTAGAACAGAAATTACACTTACAAAAATTCCAGTAACTCGACGACATGAAACCACAAAATCTACACTACAAGAAAGCCTAACAACAACACAGAACTGCTATAAGTGATAAATACCTAAACAATAATGCTGAAAATGCTAACACCTAGATCAATATTATACTTACAAAGGCTTAGTAATATTATAATCCCAAGTGACAAATTCTCATCCATAAGTAGTGCTCTGATCAGGTTGACCCAAATGACCCGAAACCAACTTGGTTATAATGAATTTACTATATGGGTCATAATCCATCTAATAAATTTATTATAACCAGATTTGTTTCGAGTTATTCAGGCAAACCCGATTGGAGCACTATCTGTAAGGTGCTTAAATAACATTGAAAATGATATTTGAAGTGACAAGCTTGCACTGACAGGTGATCCAGAATTGCTTCAACAACAGCAACTCTAGCAATAATGGTGACTTTGAAAGACAATTGCTAAAGCAAAAAAAAAATTTAAAATATTAGTAGTATTTGTATTAAAAAAAAAAAATTTATTATTAATAATCATGCAAAATATAGATTATTTTAACTCCAATTCGTGGTTATGTTAGGGAAGCCTAGCTAATGCTAATAAATGTCTATACCAGACATATTAGGTACTAGTGCTTCATGTTATGCCTGAACAAAAATGCTCAGCATATTATAGACACAGACAGACACTATAAAAAGCAAAAATACATTTATATAACTTATTTGTTATACGTATACATTATTACTTACCTAAATTTGCTCTTATAAGTAAAGTTTTTAAAGATACTGATCTATACTGATCTTTTTTTACAGAAGATAGACGAAAAGTTAAAGAACACTATAATATGTATTAAAAAAAAATTTATTATGTAAAACCATGGGTTGCCAATTGACAATGTGGTTTTTTATAGTAAGAGTTACTTTAAAAATTTTTTTTATATTGTGTAACTCAGTGATCTTTAAGCCAATCAAATCGAATATCCATTATGCTTGTAAAACCATGGGTTGCCAATTGACAATGTGGTTTTTTATAGTAAAAGTTACTTTAAAAATTTTTTTTATGTTGTGTAACTTAGTGATCTTCAAGCCAATCAAATCGAATGTCTGTCATGCTAATGAAGCCATAGCCTACTCATTAAGTAAAGCTGTCTAGTTGATAATTTTAGCCAGAGACAGTTGACTTGTATTGCTAAATACTGGTCTAAGTCTGATAAAACTAACTCAGATTTTGTAAAAATTATAACGATAATTATCATAAAATTTTGAATTTGGGCCAAAGTTCGAATTTTACAAAATAAAACATTAATGGTAGCTATGGTTGGCAATAGATAAGCAACTCTATTAACAATCAGAGGGTTTTTTTAATGGGTCATTATTGTAAAAACAATTTAATAAATTCAATTTCATCATTATTATATTTACAAGTAATGGCTATTTTCTTTTATAGGTAATGTTAGAGTTGTTGATACTATAAAAGATCGATATATATCAATCGATATACTTTATTATCTGTTATATTTAAAGAAAGACGCAATTTTAATATGTATGTTAGATAAATTTAATATATTAATTAGGGGTCTGCAACCCAAGCTCATGCCTATGCCCAACAAAAATTCAGACATGAGCATGAACATGAAAGCTTTGATATAGACATAAATGCTAATATAAAAATATGATATAGGCATGAGCACAGGCACAAAAAGTTGACACAAACACAAAAACTTGGTATGGACATGAGCATGAGCACAAAAATTATTTATTTATTAATTAATTATATGTTTAGTATTATTTGACACTTGTGTCTGGCACTTTTTGACATCTTTTTGCCTAGCATATTGTGCCTATACCTATAAAGTACCTGACATTTATGCCTATGATTATAAAAATGCCTGGCATTTGTGCTCATGCCCATAATAATTCCTGACACTTTTGAGCCTATAGGTATGGGCATGACATAAGGCACTAGTGCCTGGCATAGTGCCAATTTACTCGGCATGGGCATTTGCAGAGCCCTAATGTTAATGATTGATTAATATCACATGATATAATAATAACTGTCAACTATCGATATAATGAATCTTACTTACACACCTAATCAATTCAATAAACTTTTTTTTTTATTTTAATCAAAAAAAGTTTATTGAATTTAGTTGGAATGTCTTCAAAATATTTTAATATCTACCTAACTAAATTTAATAAGCTTTTTTTTTTATTTGAATTCTGCTACTTTTTAAGAAAAAATTTATCAACTTGAACTAGATTAGCAAAAATACCGTTCCTGATAGAATAGAAAAAAAACCGATTTACATTGATAGGGTTCTAAAAAACGTTTCTAAAATAATATACTAATAGCGAAAGTATATGAAAAAAGTTAGGATTAGGGTTCGTTTTTAGAGCCCTATCAGGAACTACTCAAATAAATTTTTTTTATCACCAAGGTCAGTACTGCCGATCCAACAGAAATAGTATTTTTGTGATCTTGATAGAGTTAAAATTATTCGAGTACTATTCCTGATAGGGTTCTAAAAACGAACCCTAATTGAATTAAAATTCAGATTCCAAAATCGGTCATTATCAAGAAATATTACCATAATTTTAGTAAACCTCAAAATCTAACATTTTTTTTAATGTATTTACTCAAATATCCTAATATAACAATTTTAAAATTAAATATATAGTAAAATAAATCAAGAAAATTTATTTGTATAATCAAAACATTATTAATTTGCTAAATCTTATAAATTTGCAAATACACCAGAAAAAAATATTATATATACCGTAAAATATCGCCAATACAATGTAAAAATTTAAAAGAAAAAAATTTAAAGAAATTTCTATTAGAACATAATCTCTTGATTGTTAGATTTATTTTGATATTATTATAAATTAAACCACAAAATTTAAAAATAACCCGCATTAAGTCTTTAAAAAAAAATAATTTATCTGCTATCATAGAAATCACCATGGCATTTGGTAAGGTATTGTAATTTATTAGATGACAGGAGCACCGGGACCCACTTGTTGCTGTACAGGCTGTGCTTGTTGTTGCTGCTGCTGCTGTTGTTGCTGTTGTTGTTGTTTGCTGCTAGATTCTTTTAGAGCCAACAACTGCTTAGAACGGAAGGCTTCATAATGAATCTGGGCAGTAGTTTCAATAAGATCTTGAAGATGGGTTCTTTTAACGACATAAAAAACAAAAGAGTTAGATGGAATTTTTTAAATAAAGAACTAATGAAATAAATAAAAATACCGAGTAAGAAAATCTCTAAGATGGACGAATTCACAATGTTGTTCGTTTTCAACTAAATATAGAAAAGTTATTTAGTAAATATTTATTCGTAGAAAACAAACAAACAAACAAACAACATACCGTTAATAACGCCCCATCTGTTTCTTCGACCACGGACAGACTTGCCGTCAATGACCACATTTTTTTCCGATCCAACAATCGCAAAGGGAATCATTTGCTATAAGCAATAAGAGATTTATATTAAGAGATTTATATTGAAATATTGATAAAGAAAAATTTATAACAAAAATGATACCTTAATACTATCATTGAGAGCTCGTTCATGTTCATCAAGTTCATCACTATCATAAGGATATAATTTAATATTGTGAAAAGCCAATTCGGACTTTATCTAATAATTTTAATTATTTTAAAAATTTTTAATGATTTGATAATTAATAATATGTCCGTTAAAATATAAAGTCATCTATGAAAGTTTATTTATAAATTTTTTACGTTTGAAACATACCCTTCGTTTAAAAGCCACGCGCTCTTCCATGGTTAAAGAGTCAGATTTGGCAATAACAGGAACGACATTGACCACCTCCGAAAGTTTTTTAAGCACCACAATATCGATGGGCTTAAGACTTTTAAACATATGTATAAGAATATATATAAGATTAAATTTATTATCAATTATCAATAGGATAAATGGATATATATATACATACGCGTGGCCTGTTGGAGAAATGAAAAATAAGCAACAGTGAATCCTCGTGTCTTGGATATATCTTTCGCGCATAGCTGTGAGTTCTTTGCGCAAATAAGCACTATGTTGATCTTTAATATACTTAATAATTGGTTCCCAACTATTTATATAATAAAGTTAAATAAGACAAACATATTTTTAAAAAGTAAATCTATGAAGAATATAAATTAACGAACCAATTTTCATTGTTGACCTGATCACCATATCCAGGGGTGTCAACGATATTTAGCCTCAAACGGATGCCGTTTTCTTCAATTACTGAACGAATATAATAAAGTAAATTAACAAAATATCTTAACGCGTCTATAATATATAATAACGATTTCGACCAATTGAAGAAAATTTATAATACAATGTGAAACGGTTTGGATTTCAGTCGTTTGCCTGAAAGGTTCTTCAGCACTGGTACGACCTTTGCTGTCAATCAAGTGGGCAGCAAAAATGGTGTTAATAAGGGTTGATTTACCAAGCCCAGTTTGACCTGTAACACACAAGTTTAAGCAAGAGATTTTAATAAGTAAAAGGGAAAATAAAATTAACATTATTGACAAGACTATACTTGTATGAAAACTAAATTTTAATTTATAAATGATCTATAATTAATGAAAAAACATACCGACAACAATAACGTTGAACTGAAAACCACGTTTCAGTAATTTCTTTTCGATTTGTCGGGTGATGGAATCAAACCCTACGTAACCATTAAGGGTCATCTACGAGTATAAAAGTTAAAAGTCAAAAGAATTCTTAGTATTAGAAGTAAAGCCTAAGAGTAAGGGGCGAGAGCAGACTTTCTTTTTCAAAACTAAAGCATACATAGAAATCAAGAAAAAAGACATACTTTTTGAGGCTCGGCCATAGTTGCCATTTCCAAACTCTTAAAGTATCACTTTAATCGATGGAGGTTTTACTTAGAAGAAAGATAATAACCAGGCAGGAAATTTTATAGGTAGTTCGATATGTAGAAGGAACGTATGGGGTGAGTTTTTTTCTCTATGTTGAGCTGAAAAGAATGAAAGGCATGAACTATATAAAGCGTACGATAATTGAAAATCGAATACTATTGGTTGCTTACTCTTAATGCGCGGTGAGACGAAAATAATTGTTACGCTGTGCATGGTTACTAAAAATTTTAGGTGTTTCGATTATTGTTAAAATTGTCGTCATATAAAAAATATTGTTAAAAAATCATCAAAAAGGAAAGGTGGTAGTGGTGACTGTGAGATTCGAACTCACGCCTCTTTCGAGACCGCAACTTGAGTGCGGCGCCTTAGACCAACTCGGCCAAATCACCAGATCATTAGGAGACTCGCCAATAATATAGATATAAAAGTAGCAAAGTTTTATTAGCTTAAACCAGGTATATCAATTAACGTTGAGATCGGCAACTTTGCACTTCATAATACAAGATATAATCTTGTTAAATAAACTTGTTTCTTTCTTGTACATTATCTTTTTTTACAGTATAGTGTTTTATAACTTTGAAAGAAAAAAAAAGTATTCAAAATTTTTTGAAACAGAATTTTAATCTCGGGTTATATGTGTTTCAAACTTCAGTAAATTTCATAATTATTATAGTCGTATAGGATAACTTCTGATTGGTCAATCACTTAAGGAATGTAACACTTCACAAATAAAACAAATTAGGACCGTTTATTTAAGGAAGCGTTAATATTGAATCTGAAATACGTACTTACCGCTACTTACTATTACTTTCTACATGTGTTTATTATATATCTTGTCGAAAAAGCAGTCGACTCCCGAACGAAGGAATGTTAATCGATCGAATCCTTGAAAGATCAGCCTTAAATCACATGAAAACACATTTTATAGGACTTGGATCCTGAATTGAATTATTAATACGATACAAAATTAATTTGGTTGGATGAACTTATGGATTCGCAATTTAACATCCCTACCCGAACGAAACAAGTTTCAGACTCTAATCATGCAACGATTATTATTATGAAATCTTCTGTCAGAGTAAATAATTGGCCGCTGTATGCCTCACAGCGGCACATGATAACCAATCACTACAGAATAAATTTTATTGATATTTATTATCATTGCATGATCCAATATCGATATATATTAACCATGATTTGCCAGTGACTAACCGAGTTTTAACTCGAGATAGTTATGCTTATGTAATGATGTACAAATATTCTCTATGCTAATAGAGAAACAAACAGAATTTTCTTTAAAAAAAAGACAAGTCTATGAGAATTTGAAGTTTTGTTAAATTCATAAACAGACTGAAAGAATCTGTTTTCAGTTAAAATAGATGATATATTTACTTTAAAATAAGCTGTGTAAGCTATTTACGAATTTTCATTCATTCTCAAGTGCACTTATCAATTGTATATGATTATGTTCATATAATTGTTCGAAGCGTAGCGAAGGCCTTCTGTTTGAGCAAACTTAAACGCACGTTCATGAGAATTAGAAGTTCCCCGTGATGATTTGCAGCAGTGTAACAACGCTTAATACAATATAGATTTCCTACCTCAACCACTAAGCATACAAAAAAAAAAAAAATTATTTTACGAAACGAAGAACTTAGACATTCCCATTTCGTTTTTTATTTGGTAAATAATAAATAAGGTTTTGAAACCTATTTTGTCAATTTGAAATATTCCAATAGGAGGTTTCAGAGTTAACATATTTCAAAAATAAGTGGGAGTTTAAAAGATCCTACTTCTATATTTAAAATTCCGACTCAGGGAATTAAATAGGAGCACACATTAATAAAATTAGCTTGTTTTTGATAAATATTTACTGGTAAACAATTATGTGAATAAGTTTATACGTACGATAAAAAATAGAATTTATGGATCACATATTTTGACGTAAATATGTCACTTATTTTATCTGAAATAAAATTAGCCCCAAAATCAATGTTTACCCGTTACTATCAGATGACAAATTATTACTGTAAGTAGGAACGGATTTGAAATTTCTTAATGTCAATTATAATAAATGAGTACCTCTTACTAGTGTTATGAATCGAAAATCAATTGATCGTTTAGTTGACTGAGTTAGCAACTAATCGATTATTATAAATTAGATCAACTAAACAACTATCGATTAATCGTTAAGTTAGCAGTAATCGATTTGCAATCGATTTTTCTACCAACTAATCGATTACGATTTTTGTTCTGATTCGTATCACTACCTCCTACCCATAAAATCTCAATCCATTCTCACAACATTAATACTAGTGCTCGTCAAAATCGAGTAAAAACTCGATTATCGAGTTTAAGCATCTACCTGTAATACAAATCGGATCTTATTTTTTTTTAGTAAATCTAATGAAACAAATATAACGCTTATATTTTATGATCTTATTTTTATCAGTAATTAATTTTATTTTGAAGTATTTAAAAAAAAAGTATTTGCTTTTCCATAATTCATAAATCAGCTATAACTAAGCTATTCAGGTTTGCAGAGAATTTCTTCCAGCAATTGTGATGATATGTGTATTTTTTTTTTTCTTTTTGAACTTTGAATTTTGGTTCTTACCAATCTTTCTTTTGTCAATTATGATGAATTTTTTGGTTTCTCTTGTGGTCTTTTTACTTCTCTCTTTTCAGCAATTATGGTGGTATATATGTTTTTTTTTCTTTTTTTTTGGTTCTTACCAGTCTTTCTTTTATTAATTATAGTGAATCTTTTGGTTTTTCTTGTGGTTTCTTTTTTCAGTAATTATAATGGTATATGTGTTTCTTTTTTTTTTTTTTTCTTTTTGATTCTTATTGGTCATTTTTCTATTAATTATGGTGAATTCTTCAGTTTCTTTTCTTCTAATGATTATGGTAGTATATGTTTTATTTATTTTTTTCTTCTTTTTGAATTTTGGTTCTTACTGGTCTTTCTTCTGTTAATTATAATGGATCTTTTAGTTTTTCTTATAATCTTTCTATTTTTTTTCTTTTGTTGATTATGGTAGCATATGTATTTTTTTTCTTTTTTTTGGTTTTTATTAGTCTTTCTTTTATTAATTATGATAAATCTTTTAGTTTCTTTTATAGTCTTTTTACTTCTCTTTTTTCAATAATTATAATGTTATATATTATTTCATACATTTTACATTTTAATATCTTTTTTTAGTTAATAAAATTTTCTTTTAATTAAGATACAGTTTGATTAAATTAAGCATAATATTTATTAATATTATAATATTTATTTGGTTCTAATATAATAAGTCTATTCTATACTAAGACTAGTTATAAACATAAAACATATTTTGTAAAGGTTACTATATATTAATTAAAAATATTATAAACTTATTTGTATTTATAAAAAAAGATATAAAAACTCATTTATATTTATAAATTTAATTTCTAAAAATTGGTCAAAATAAATATAATTTTTATATACAAGATATTAAGAAAATAAATGTATAATAATTAAAAAATAATATATTTATATAATTTTGAATAGCAAAGATAAACTGGTTCAAGAAAAAAATAATTGACAAGTAATCAGAAAAGCTTAGATCAATAAGTTTTAATTCAAAATTTTTTGATTACAATACAAATATAAATAAAGAGAAAATATATTAAAAAAAGAAAATAATAAAAACAAAAAAGTTAATAGAAACTGTAAAAACTCAAGTTACTATAAACAGAATACATTATCAAAAAAAAATATATTATTAAAGATATAGAGCAAGAACAAAAATACTAAAAAAACAAATAAAAGATATTAATATTGATATATTACAGAAATATGCAAACCAAACTATTAATAAATTTGAAACACTAGTAAGAACAGGTTACAAGAAACTATAAAGAGCACAAAAAATATAGATAAAGAAATGGCAGAACAAGAAAAAAAACAAATTAATAATAAAAATTAAATTGCATTTTCTACAGATACAATTAAGCATAACTGATAGTCTCTAGAAAATAAAATATATAACAAAAATAGATCTTTTAAAATATATATACATTGCTAAAAAAAATTAAAAAAGAAAGAGTAAAATATATTTAATAGATTTTAGAAAAAAATTATTATATTAAAACAGTTAACAAAATATTTAAAAATAAAAATAATTAGATTTTAATTGTAAATACAGCAGAGATATAATAATAGACAAAATTAAAAAAAAAAAAAACAAATAACTTAAACTTATTTTAGAAAAAATTAAAAATAAAAGTTAAGTAATAAAACAGTAAAAGAAATACAATAACAAAAAAAAAAGAAAAAATACAAAATGAATAAAACTAAAGAAAAATAAAAAAAAGAAGAATTCTTTAAGAAAATAAAAGAAAAAAAGAAAAAGAATATAAAAATATAAACTAACTAAAAACAAAGAAGAAAAATACAAAAACTCTTTAGACAAATAAAAAAATATAAGCAAATAATTACTTAATAATATGGAATTTGCCAGTAGATATTAATATAGAAGAAATAGAATATATGTACAGAAGTGTTAAAAATGTCAAAATAAACTAAATCAAGAAATCTAAATACAAGTTATTAGCAATAATATGTACTAAAAACCTAAAAGAAAAAAACATTCTATAGGCTTTGTTAGTTAGTGTTTATAAACTAGTAAGAATAACTAAAGTCAAGAAAAATTACACTCTATGGAACTTGCATAGCTAGTTTATAGTAAAATTACTGAAGCTACCAAGAAATATATCATAATTTTTATTACTAAGATATTTGAGAAAAAGAGGTATAAAGTCAGTATATATTCAAATAAACAAAAATAGTAATTAAAAAAATCTGTAATAATTATTTTTATATTATAAAAAGTGATAAAAAATATATAAACTAAATTAATAAAATTTAACAACTACTTGCTATTCTGGTAAAAAGATGTAAAAAGAAGAAAAAAAAGCAAAAAAAAAGTATACTATAAAAGATACACAATGATAAACAACATAAATAAAAATTTAAACACTAATGAGTTTGAAAAAAAGAGATATAACAAAAAAAAAAATAAAAGTTAATAATAAAATAAAAAAAAACAGGCTATGCATCTAATAAAAAAAGAAAAACCCTAGTTACAAATACAAAATTCACTATAAAAAAATTTTAAAAAATTAGAAAAATTAAAAATACAACATGACAAGCCAAAAAAAAATATTAAAAAACCTAGTTAACTGCTTTTAAGAGCATTTTAGTTGAATTAATAAGCATGAACAAAAAGATTAAAGGTTTTTTACAAAAAGAAAAAAAAGTTTTAAAAGAAAAAAAAAAAAATCATATTCTAGTTTAAAAAAAAAAAAGTTAAAAAATAAAAAATAAAAATAAAAAGCATTAAAACAAGACAAAATTTATTATAAAAAAATAGAAAAAAGAAAAAAAGAAATATAACTAACATATCACAATGCTAATAGACTTAAAACTAAAAATTAAAAACTAGAAAACCTTCTTGGTTAAACAAAAAAAGAAAAAATAACAATTTTGAAAATAACAGAAACAAATATTACAGAGAAGAAAAAAAATTTTCTATTATATAATCAAAATATACAATATAAAAAATTCTGAACTAGTGCAGCAATAAACAATAAAAAAGGTTTAAATATAGGAATACTGATTAATAAAAGATGAGAAAAACATATCAGAGTAGTTAAAAAAATCAGTGAATATATAATAAAAGTGTAACTATACTTTAAACAATTGAAATTAATAATAATAAGTTTCCTTTAATCTATTCTAACTAGAAAATAATTTAAAACAATTATCTATAGCACTTATTAGGAAATAAGAGATATAATATCATATTGAGTATCTATTTTTTAGTAACACAAATGTAGTTTAGAAATCTTTATTTTAGAAATTTCTTTATATAATTAAATTTCTTATTGTATTTTAAAGTTTCTACTATAATATTATATAAATAAAATAATAATAATAATAATAAGAGTATATATCTTATCAAATAACAAATCAATTAGCAAAAAAATCTAACAAAAAATTGTAAAAGTAGTTATAAGTAGAAAAAAAATACAGAAATAATTATACTAAAAGACTTCAACTACACAGTAGACAATGTACTAGACAGGCAGTACTCATAAACAACAAAATATAAAAAGTTACAATTTTTAACTAACTCAAAAGACAGAATTTTATAGATTTATACAAAAACTTATATCTAGTAAAATAAGTATATACATAGTTAAGTTATAAAGCTATAACAAGAATAAATTATATTTGGCTATTAGAAAAACTTGCATTAGATCTTCAAAAAACTTGCATAAAAGAAGCAATAAGCCTGACAGATAGTAATTACAAAATAATAATAATAGTAATATAGATAGAATATACAATTGCAAAATACAGTAGTGCAAAAATTAAATATAAAGACCAAATAAAAACAATGTATCTGTATAAAAAAACTAAACAGAAAGACTGAAAAAAATATACAAGATAACTACAAAATTAATTAAAGTAAAAAGAGTAATAAAGCAACTAGAAGAGAATAAAATAAATTTAGAATACAATGTAGAAACACTAAACTATATATAGAATACAATATAGAAATCTATAATTAAAATAGCAAATAAACAAATTTCAAAAAAAATATTCAACATAAAGACAAAAAAAAAACAAGGCCAATAAAAGATATTGCAATATTACAAATAGATTATTAAATTGTAACAAATGATCAAAAGAGCAAAGAAAAGAATAAACCAAAAAGCAAATAAAAAAGAAAAAAATAAAATAAATAGTAAACTCAATATTATAAGAAAAGACATAAAAGTAATACTACTAAAGCTATATAAACAGCAGTTAGCAGTTTAGATAAATAATATAAAAGGTTGGCAAAGAATATTTAAAAAAAAATAAAAATAAATAAGAACAAGTTTAGAGGAAACAGATAGAAGAGATTATAAACAAAAAATGCAAGATGATTAAAACAAATCAAGAATGAATAATTACTAGTCTCTTAAACAGACTATATAAAAATATAATCTTTAACTAATATATTATACAAGATGAGAAAGAAGTTAACTAATAACAAAGCTAAATGCAATATTTTTTTTTTTTGCTTTCACTAAGGCCATTAGTTATTGGCAGCTACTGTCTTTATTGTGAATTCAATTATGATTATATAACTTGTACAAGGTTACCTTTATACTATACTAGCAGATAGTGCACAAGTTTCTGTATACCTAATTAGATGCCATTTAACCTAAGCCTAATCTCTCTGTCTGTACATCTGTTAA